ATAAAAATGCACTATTTATCAATTATTGGAGAAATTATGGCTTATGGCCATCTTTTCCGTATGGCCATAATACCCTAGTTTACCCTATGATTGGTTAGATCTATAAGTAACAACCAATTATGTTTATTTGCTCAGCGAGCAGGCTAGCCGCATTGTCAACTTGAACGCGTCCAATCATTCGAGAATTGAGCATCGTGTGATCTTAGCTTAAGTGATGTTCATTTTTATCCATTCTTCGGGTGCTGTCAAAAGTCTACAAAAGTCTCACTAGAATTCTTTGCAGCATTTAATCAATCTTCAGAAGAAAGAATTTTACGAATTGACCAATCAAAGAACGCTTTTCTAGCAGTTTTATTTCATCGTGGAATTGTGGCAAACCTGAGCAACGTTGAACGTGGCGTCGGGAGAGATAACGGGGAATTCCGTGAAAGAGGGCTTAGTTTTGTTTCGATTACCGGTTTGTGTCGTTTGTGTCTTCAAGATAGTATCGCTTTTTGCTTGTATTTCGAACTCCAAATACGCACAATCACGATGGAGGAAATTCGAGTTATGGTATGATATTACATACGCTAATATTTTTATGCTAGCGCGATTTCTTTTGTGAGACTCCTAGTCTCACACTGTCGTGTTATCGTTATGTCTTTACACGTTATCAGTTGAATTTAGCTGATAATGTTATTGCGATTACATTGTTTAACTGAAATAAATGTATTAAAAGTGATTAAAATGTATTTAAATGAAAATACGAGTAAAATGTTTAAAAGAATGACATTTAGAAGATTATTGAAAATGCAGATAATACAAATGATTAATGCAAATGACATATATTAGATTTGTATTACTATGTCGAAACATCGACTACATGTGTTCTATAATTGTATAATTATTGTACTGAACGACTAATTCTGATTGCTTTAGTGGTGTGATGTACTGGAGGAATTGCTTCAATGTCCCGTATGCTTAGAAGCAACACAGGGTGTAAAAATCCAATGTGTAAATGGACATCACATATGTAATGCATGCAGAGTACAGCTGCATGTGTGTCCTATATGTAAATCTGCCTTTATAGGAACAAGAAATTTGGCGGTGGAACAAATTTCAGCCAAATTGCAGGATATAAAGGTATAGTTTTTATTTCCAGTTATTTTATTTCTAGTTAACATAGCAATAATAATGGACAAAAATAATGCAAGGTTAATGCAAGACATTCTTAACTCAGAACATTTGTCTATTCAGATACTTTATCATTTTTCCATCAAATGATAATATATATATATATATATACACATACATATATATATATATATGTGTGTGTGTGTGTGTGTGTGTATATATGTGTGACTAGGACAATATAATTCTAAATCAAAGTATTGTTTCTTAGTTATCCCTATTGCATCCATATCATGCTCTCAATAGAAGAGTCCTACATGATAAGATTTGTGCGGCTACTCAAACTGACAATATTTGTATGCCTTCCACTGCTTCTCAAACTGAATCTGTGACTCAAGCTACACCAATTATTCCAAGAAACGAACAACAAAGATCAATATTAAGTTTAGCGCCTAGAGTAGGAAAAGGATCATATCCATGTCGTATTGGATCTTGTATAATGGAACTACCACATGGAAGAATGATTGGCCATTTGAGATATCACCATAGCAGTGTATTTTTTGAGGTATAACGCGTAATCAAATTTATGAATGTGATTGGTATTAATTTTTTTGACATAATTAAGCAAAATTGCAATTTTGTTATGATTAATTGAAATTATAGTTAAACGCAAAAGATAATGTACTACGAAAAAAATTGGATCTGGAGTATATCTTGAATCGAGATCACGATCGTGCATTCCATATCAAAGAAATGGGCTTATTTTTTTTAAACATCTCTATAAATAATGTGGGTGATCTAATGGCTTCCTTACAAATTGTCAATTGCATCGCTGTATGTAAACAATTCACATATACATTTGAAGTAATTGGGGAATTTAATGCTTCTTACAATGGCCAGGTAAGATTATATCCATTGTTATTTGTATAAGGCGTTGATTTTTTAAATATATTTAATATTTTTAAATAAGAATTATACTTTTTATAAATAATTATAAGGCCTCTTTAACAGAATTTTTAAAGCAGCATTTTACGTTTAACTTTGACGATAATAATAACGTGACATGTTAACACAACTCATATTTTCAAACAGGTGAAATCTTGCAGAGTATCAAGGCTATGTCTTTCAAATGACTGTTTGCGCATACGCGAGAATAACATGTGCCGCTTAATTGATCATAAAAACTATTTTCATTGCAATCTAACGATAAAACGTAGAGTTGATTACAGAACAATCGCCGCACAAAATAATCCAACGAATGCTCGTGATGACATAGTGAATAATTGAAAAAAGCTATATAATTTATTATTGTATAAAGGAAAAGATTAGACAGTAAAATGATTATTTCATTGATTGATTTTTTTGTAATATGTAATCTTTTTATATATAAATAACTGGAGTTTTCTTTTAATTCAACATGAAACAATTTTAATTATTCATTATGTTATCGATTTTTGTGTTTGTATAACTGTCGATGTAAGTAATTCAAGCAATTTAAATGTTCATCGAGAAAATAGTGTACTTTTAGATCATTTTAGATTTGCATTTCTCAGTATTGCCTAATTGATAAACTAAAAAGATTAAAAAAGGACTGACTTTATTGCGGATTGCAGATATAGATGCAATCACAGATATAAGATAGTACAATTTTTCCACGAAACATTTTTAATTTAATACTTTGTTATAACCGCAATTAGGCAGTTCTGTTTGTAAAAAAAATAGGAAGGGAAAAAAGTATTTCTTGCGTATTTTTGCCTGAAACGCTTCCTATATATTCTTTCAGTAAATTAATATCAGAAGTTTTGATGTAAAATGAGAATTTTTCAAGAACTTTATCGCGACGAAACGAAGAAAAACTTCGTGATGTATGCATTATGTAGTCACGACGTATGTGATATAACTTACATATAATATTACGGACAGAAAAGTTATTAATGTATGATACTTCTATATACGAAATAAAGTTATTACTTTAAAAACGAATTTAACCATAATTGTCGTCCATCCGTCTGATTTTCAAATATACAATCTCTGCATTCAGGATGTAAAGTTGAAATACAGGATAACGCGCGCCGCTTGATCAGTTTCGATAAGTCAGACGTGTTTATTGTGAGTTCTAAATACGCCAAAGATATAAAGTCATGCGCGCGTTACTCGTAATTAGTGTCTACATTTTCCTTTATTTCCTGTATACTAATTAACGTTTTGCTAAGACCTACCACAACTTTCGCACCTCTAATACCTTTTCTTGTTGTTTTTCTATTTATTTCCATACGAATTAAATTGCAGTTGTGAATCGCCATTCGACAAATATTTGTCTCTCGCTTTGCTTAATTTGCAAAAAATCCACTCCGAAAATGTATATACCGAGTATCTCTTAGATCTCGTATGTGCAATTGAAAAATAACGAAGATTATATTACCCCTGTGCATATCATAATGCTTCGAGGAAGACGCTGCACCACGGTCATCCTCAGTTATCCGCTCTTTCCTTACATATCTTTTGAGAATTTCGCATATCTCTTGTCAAATGGTTAGGTAATTATTCGCCGTCGCGCACGCTTGTGGTTACTTAAATCGGCATACGCTAAACGCGAAATTACACTCTGCTTGGCCTCCTCAGCGGATCCTCCGCGCGTCCCTTCAAGTGGTACCTCCCTCGCGTAGCGACTTTTGTTGCTCCAAAAGCCGCTCTAAGGGGGAAGGACCCGGGCCGGACCACAGAGACTGCTGATGGAGCCGTGTTTTCATCGGATCTTGATTGGTCGAGCCCGAATTAATCGATGTATTTACGGTACTCCACGTATTGCCACTGAACAAAGAGTAAGTGTTGCCGGTGCTCACTGCTTGGGACGGCTTCTGTTCGAGCTAAATAAGAACATTATTATTTAGTTACTCAAAATACAGAATATTTATAAGATAGATAAATTTTAATACAAAATAAGAAAATCTCTAACTTGATATTAAATAAATCTTATAATTTTCATACATTGAATTAAAATTATTAAATAATTATTACATGATTTCAAAAGGTTTTACTAATTATATCATGCATAATTTTTATATGTGATATAAAAATTAATTTAAAAAATGTTTAAATCATATCAAAGTTTAAAAGTATTCTGATATTTATTACAGAAATATTTTTCGCTTATTTGTTTGTCTCAATATATCGCACGAAATGATGTCATAAACACTTGTACTTTAAATAACGAACTTACCTCAAACAATCTGGAATCCTCAAAGTTATTTCCTCCTGCCATAAGATGTCTGCCATGTTGTCCGTTTTGTTGTTGCGGTTGATAATTTTTGCCTGGTGTCAACGGAATTCTACTCGCTGTGTTTGTCAGAGTGGACGAATCGCTCCAGTTCGAGAACGTGTTATCATTAGCAATCGAATCCTTCATGTGCATTTGGGTTGTTGCATTGCTAGCCGAACCCCACCAGGCAATCGGTGGTTGAGGTGGTCGACTGTCCTTCCACAAGTTAAAGTGCTCAGTCGGCTCGTAATTGGAGAACATGTAACTGTTCGCCATAGATTGCTGTTGCTGTGGCTGATTCTTAGTTACACTGACCTGATTCGGGAATGGGAAATCTATCGGGTCTGTATTCTTCTTGTAAAAAGATGGTGATGGTTGACTTTGTGACAACGATTGTCCAAAGGATTGATTCTGATTGAAATGAGTGAAGTTCAGCTGAAAATTTGACGTGTTGGTCGGGCTCTGCGAATTCGCCAACGTCGTCAAAGTTTGCTGCTGAGGATCCTTTTCATATACTGACAATGCCGACATCATCGCCGACATATTTGCCATATTCGAACCGCTGATATTTAACTGATTGTGCATGTCGTTTGGTCTGGAATTGCTCGGCATCATGGTCTGCTGTTTTTGTAGCCCCATCGAATGGTTTGGTTCCATGCTTATACTTGATTGCAGTCCCATATTATTGGTTTGCAAATTCATGCTTTGCGGTATCATATTTTGTTGAGCAGATGATCCCAGCTGTATGTTTTGCTGCAATAACTGCGCTGGACTATGAGATACAGTCTGTGATACCCTCTGATGCAATGGTCTGCTTTGACCGATTGTATGATGTATTCCATTGGTGCCCTGTGGCAGCGTTGGAATCGACTGGCCGTTGTTATTGAGTTGCCCTTGCATTTGATAACGCGGCGCGTTTGCCAATGGCGATCGATTTGCCATGAAGTTCTTGGCAAATTGCGGATTCTGTACATTGAACGATTGATTCGAGAAGCAAACCGATCCCAATGTCGACGGTTGTTGACCGCACTGTGACGTCATGCTAGTGTGCATTTGCGGAAGAATTTGTTGAGCAACTTGCTGAGTTTGTTGCTCTTTGACTGTCAATTGATTTATTTGATTGGGCATGGGAATGCTAGGTGGCAATTTCGTGGATCTCTGCTGATTCTGAATCGATAAGGATTGGTTCGGACTGATAGACGGAACGAGTGGCATCACCGATAGCCGATTCTGAACATTAACAAGGATGTTATTTGTATTGGCAGGTTCATTAACTTTGGATATCTCTGGAATTGGTGTCGGTTTGTTTGCAACAGAAGTAATCGATGGAACAGTCACTACTTTTGGCTTTTTATCACTTTCTTCTTCGACAATTACAGGTGATACATTCTTAAATGTTACCTGTTTCTGCTCATTCTCTGCACGACGCATAATTGCCTGCATTGCTATATTCTGTCGTGGTTTTCTCGCACATGGAAGAGAATTTACCTCGCTGTTGCTCGTCGTCTCTGCGGTATTCACTGAGGAATCTCGGTTTCTTTCTAAGGAGCCTTGCGGTTTAAGAATACCCTGGAAAAATTTCTTATCTGCAAGAATCTCAAGATCGGTTTCTACAGAACTCTTGCTACTAGCTGCTTCGGACAGTACTGGGCTCATCGAAGTATCGAGCTGTTTGTCCTTGTTTAAGCTAAGTTCCTCGAGTTCCTTCATCAATTCGTTGCTGGGCCCAGCGCCGTTGCTCATAGACGTGAATTTGTGATCACCGGTTTTCTCCTCTGTCATAATTGAGATTGGTGTTGATCCATTGATCTGATACTGAGCGAAGCAATGACCCAGATGCAAAATGCGTACCGCCCGTAACTTGTTTAATGTTGCAATATCACCTTCCAGCGCTGTATTCGTGAATCTAAGATTCTCGAAACTCTTCTCTAACGGTAGGAAACCCTGAAGGTCACGATCTTCTGGCAGTGGCACTGCAACATCTGTTCCATATAATTTTATAAGTATCATCATATATTATTATGATATTTTAATATATATCTTACATATCCATAAACATATGCACCACATTCTTTAGTGCAAATTATGTGTATATGTGAATACTAATTATTATATTAATAGTTCATTTTGAAATGTTTATATATTGTGAAATATAATATATTTCACAATATACACTTTCTTACTTTTTAAATTTATTTATTAGATATGCATATAAATTACCTATATAATAAATGAAATTCAGTTACTTACATTCATCATATTTAAAATCCACTACACAATTCTGCAAGGCATTCAAAAGCACACAAAGACTGGGCCATATCTGTAATCTTGATGTAAAAGCAACTTCTTCCAAAACCGTTGGTTTTATGTTGATCCAATCAAGGCACAGTTTTACTGTAAAAAAAGATAATGTTATCTGTTACATAATCCGTTTTACTAATCTCATTTAAAAAATATAAATTGCAATATATACAGTACTTACTAGAAGGCAAGGCAAAATACTCAATGATAGAGTTCTTCATCGTGTAAACGGGTAACAGCAAGGCAGACAGAGTACCTGCAATTAGGTCCAGTATACAGTCGCGAGCGAGCTTTTTATTATTCACCATTTGCTCGTTCTTGAGTAATTCCACATTATCGGTGCCAATTCCGGCTGTATGTTGCAAAGCGTAGAGATTAATCACCAACATCTGTACAAGCATCCACGAACTGAAGCTTTCGGTAGCTACCAACGCAGTCAGCGTTTCTGCCAATTGCTTGCTATACGAGCACGCTAGCTTCAAATCGCCAAGAATGTGGATGATTCCATGTAGTTTCAGAAAAACAGTGATATACTCCTGAGAATTCAATTTGGTCTTGCCGTCGATATTGAACGATTTGTCATTCAAAGCAGAGGATAGAGTCGTGGCAAGATTTGCTGTAGCGACAGGAAAAGGATGTTTCACAGCTACTGAACGTGCATAGTGAAACACTGTGCCCAATTTATTACCACGAGAAGCTTCTAGAAGCGCCAATTGATTATATGGCTGTCCGCTTGATGGTGACAGTGAGACAGCATGTCTGTAAAACATTTCGGCTTGTTT